GAATATCGTGACCGTACGTCGAGCCGTTTAGATTTGTGCCCAACTGTTGACGGTTGCACGGACGATCATGCGATTCTACAAGCTGCATCTGACTTCGTCAGATGAGCTAAAAAAACATTTTTGTATAAATTCACAATTTTTGCCGTCACTTAATTAGCGATGAATTTTTAATAAACAATTTTCATCGATAGCATAGAAAGACCTCTCTTATGTAATGGATATGAGTTTGATTGAATTTGATGAACAGTTATGTTGCAATGCCCTTTAGAGTGTTACCCATCCGTAACCCTAAACTAACAGTATCCTTAATTTATTTACCATTAAATACTAGCTTAAATACAATAATGTCAATATTCCTTCGCAATACACCGGTTGTCTCGACGGTGACGTGGCGTCACCGCGTCGTCGCCGCAATCTAAAATGATCGATGATTAATCAATCATCGGTCGTTTTGTAAAACCTATGATCGATCATGAAATTTGGACCGATCTCCAACACTACTTCAAAGTCCATTGGACTATATCGAAAACGGAGTACGAGGAATGACCACAGACTACAAAATACCAACAACATTCACACTGTAATTTGTAGGATACGATACGTTGATTAGCCGTCGTCAAAATAATAATTAATATATCATGATTATGATCACGTTCCAGAATCATAACATTTAAATAAATTCTTACTGTACAACACAATATAATTAATGTGCTAATTTAATGTTTAGTTACCGTCACGCCGTTCGAACAGTACACTGTCACTGCGACTGACACTGTACAACCAGTCACTCAGAATCACAGGCACTTGGAACGTCTCAATAAAAAAAAGGTAAATAAACACAAAATGTATTTACTACCAGTCTTAAAGTTAATGTTTCTCTACTCTATTTTGCCTATAATCACATGTAAATGCTAGTCAAATGCTCATCTGCAACACACAAGTACACCGCACGCCGGCCATTAGATACAATAATGTAACCCAACAAGAGTAGGGTTACAACGCGAGCCTATTCTTTTCTTTGGAAGAGCCCTTGAATGATTCACTCAGGGCGGTTTTATGGTGCGTTTTTCGAGACTACAACTTTCAAACTGGGTTTATTCTAAACACGAACCTTTCTCCGCTATCCTGGGACTTACTATGTATCACAATACTCTGTATTAAACTATTATAACCTGTTACAAGAATTCGAAATGACGAGCGGCGATACTTCGAGCGCCATTTCTGTTGACCTGTGACGTACAGATTCCCAATCTGCATAGCGTTCGGCTAACTTCGTCATGACGTCACGATTGATAGCAGCCATACCATGATACATTCGATCTTGGAGACTAAGTTAGCCGAACGCTATGCGCATTGGGAATCTGTACGGCACAGGTCAACAGAAATGGCGCTTGGAGTATCGCCACTGCCAGGCACTAGTCACTTCAAAATTTTGTAACAGGTTATAATAGTTTAATACAGAATATTGTGATACAAAGTAAGTTCCAGGATAGCGGACAAAGGTTCGTGTTTAGAATAAACCCAGTTTGGAAGTTGTAGTCTCGAAAAACGCACCATAAAACTGCCCTGCGTGAATCATTCAGGGACAGGGGCTCCTCCAAAGACAAGAATAGGCTCACGTTGTAACCCTACTCTTTTTGGGTTACATTATTGTATCTAGCCCGCCATGGCATGTGCACAAACAACATGAATAAGACTCAGAGGCTTGTGAAGTTGTGTGTTGCAGATGCG